ACATTATTACAAGTAACGTTACAGGAATTAAAATTAGGTCTAAATTAAAACATGCCACTTTATTTTTAAAAAAAACACAAACAAACTTGCTGTTTAGAGCGATGTAGTATATTTTCTTCTTTAAACACGCAGTTCTGTTACAATGCTCTACCACCGAGCAATCCAAAAAAAAATCAGTTTTGTAGTGTGTTGTAAGGTGTAAAGTGCAGTTACATCACATGTGAAGCATCCTTTGGGTTTGCAGCTATTTGGACATTACTTTTCCTTTCAGGCTGCTTTTAGACATCTTTTGATCAGTATCCTCCTAGGAATGAGGATTTCCAGCATCTTAAAATCTGAATTGCTATGGCTGATATAGGTCCAAGTCCTTTCAACTCCTGGGCACGTGGGCTGATGTCTGCTCAAATCAGCAATCCCTCTGGGAGAGACTGCGTGTGTGAGTAGGGACTCCTTAAACCAGTAAGGGTTGCAAGATTTAGCCTTTAAAGAATCGCACAGAAAAGCTGGGAGCCTTGTGGTTCAGAATGATGCTGGCTTTTGAATAACATCAAGGAGAATCAAAGCCCAGCAGAACTGACAACAAAATGTAATTTGTATTTCTGTAATTCCAGTCCTGCAAACACATTTCCCCCAAGCATACACTTGATTTTACATTACCATGCTCCTTGTTCACTCTGTAAGTGCCACTTTGGGTTGCTTTTAGTTCCCAAAACCTCTGGCACTAGACGCAGCAGAACAATTTGGGGTGCTTAAGAGACTGGTCAGCGCAGCCTCGAGGAACTCCACCGCTACCTTTTGCTAGAACTCATTTACACCTTTTCTTTCAGACCAACCTGCATCTGTTTGAACATGTTTGAGTGTCAAGTTTGAACAGATACAGAATCTTGCTCTGAAATCTGGAATCGGGTTGCACCTGGTTTTGATGTGAGACGCATGAAAACCAGAATTTGCTGTGGCTTGCAGGCAGTATGGTACTTTAGCCCAAACTCCTCTGAAGCACTTAGCTGGTTTGCTACAAAGGGCATGTTTTAAGCTGTCCTAGCACCAGCAGAGTTTAGCCTCAGCATTCAGCAGATAAGGCTTCGCTTGACCAGCTCTGAAGACGTGCACATTATATTGTCACCTTAATATGCTATTGTCAATGTTTCTTAGCCTGACTTGACTATTTGGTTTTATTTGCCGTTAATGATCAAATGCTTCCTTCCCAGAAATTCTTTCATCCTTCAAAATCCAAGCAGGAACTCGCTGTCCCTTTGTTTCTTCCTGTACAACAAAGTAATGTGTATTTTGTAAGGATTGCAGGACTAAAGCCAACTCACTACTCTGCCTATCCTTGAGGAAAGGGACTGCATAAAGGTTGTGTGTCCCTCTTACAGAGCTACTACATATTGTGTTAGTGCCTAGATGGTTATTTTGAATGTGCCCACCACTCAGTACTGTTAGACTTACAGCAATAGCAAGGTCATCAGAATAGATGCACACATTTCTAAGCGCTCCGGTAGATTCACTATCTTTCAACTCTTACATTTGTTTACAAAATGGATCCTCGCTTAATTGAATTGTAAGGAGTCCTCAGAGAATGGGAACTTGTTTTAGCCACTGTTAATTGAATAAACATAAAAAGCATAAAGTGCAAATAAAGTCTTTAAATGTATCGCTACCATTTAACACAGCTATGTATTTTGTATTTTTTTTTCCATACACAATATCGCTCTCACTGTTCTCAAAAGCGTGGTGCCAGAACAATGACAAAGTTTAAAAAAACAACCATTCAGATTCAGGGTCTTGCGGCAATTCGTGCTGCACACTAGCTAATACTCAGAGGCCTAAGGAAAAAAAGATGCTAATACTGAATTAACACATGGATGCGGTTGTCATTAATGCAAATACATGCTTAAATTATATAACTTTTTTAATTGGATGATATCACTTCGTTTCTTACTAAGATGTTTCAGAGGCATGAGTTTGACAGAATATATTCAAATGACTATAGCACTTTACTTAAACTACTGGATTTTGCCTCTGGCATGAGCTGCGCTACAAACTATAATCTATTTATTCACTTAGCCATGTGGTCAAGTGCTGCTTATGTCATCAGAGATGGAAAATAGAAATGTCTAATGGAAGATAAATGGCATCTGACTTCACACTGGCTAGTCTTCCCCCCAAAAGTTTCAATTATTATAATGAAATATCATCATATAACATTTGTATGCAATACCATACTCCAGCAAGAGGTAAACACTCAGCTACTCGGAAAGGAAGACTGTCCCCTGTTCCCCAGCTTAGCATTTCTCAGACTCAGGCCGTCTGTGCAGGGGCTATAGATGTCATAATTCATAGTTTCATAGTTTCAAGGGTCAGAAGGGACCTGAGCAGAACATCTAGTCCAACCCCCTGCCATGGCAGGAAGAGCACTGGGGTCAAATGACCCCAGTAAGGTGGTCATCCAACCTCCTCTTAAAAACCCCCAGGGTGGGAGCCTGCACCACCTCACTTGGAAGCTGGTTCCAGACTCTAGCCGCCCTGACCGTGAAGTAGCGCCTCCTGATGTCCAACTTAAACCTTCCCTCC